GGGCGACAGAGTGAGACTCCAACTCCAAAAAAAAAAAGAATCACTGGAATAACAAATCTGTATCATTTCCGTTTCAGATGATATTTTTTATGTTTAATTAAATTAAGAACTAATTAAATTAGGCCAGGCGTGGTGGCTCACGCCTATAATCCCAGCACTTTGGGAGACGAAGGTGAGTGTATTGTCTGAGCTCACGGGCTTAAGACCAGCCTGGGCAACATGTCAAGACCTCATTTCTACAATAAATCAAAAAGTCAGCTGGGCATGGTGGCACAAACCTGTGGTTCCAGCTACTTGGAAGGCTGAAGTGGCAGGATCACCTGAACCCAGCTCAATAAGACTACGACTCAAAAAAAAAAAAGTAGTATTAAATTAATTTTCCTATGGTCTACGATCCCATGCCCAAATCTTTGTATGTGACAACTAGCCTACATTTCACTGAATTATACACTAAGTGAAATTGGTTTTATTTTCATCTTGGGTAATAGGTTTGGACTCTTATTTTATTCAATTATATTACAAGTCCCCAAAGTTAAGACTATCAACAGTTACTGTCTGCTACTTGAGATAAGAGCAAACAGCAATCTAAGTTGACAGCCAATGATTACCCGTTGGGAGAGTGGGGCGCAAAGACACAAGCACAGAACACAAGTCCTGCTGCTTTCTGAACTTGCCACAAACTCCTACTTTCCTTCACTCCTCATTCTGCTTCACCTCAACTTAAAAATGGTCAGTTAAACATCTGAGGCAGGCACTGAGTCTATGATGATGACAAAGATGGTGACGATGATAACAACTGTCTTACTAGAAGTAGCTGCCAACATTGAGTTTCGAACCCTTGACCATTTTGGGTCATTCTTGGTCCCAAGTGTATGCTGGATCTTCCACCGGGGCACTGAGCTGCCAGAAACAATGAGTATTGTCTTTCCAGTTGATCAGATGAGGATCTGGAATATTGGAATAGGACACGCTCAGTGGCCCAGGGCAGCAAAGACCATTCACCTGGTGAAAACAGGTCAGAGCGAGTTTGGGACCAGCCTGGTCAACTTGGTGAGACCTCATCACTACAATAAATCAAAAAATTAGCCGGGCATGGTAGCATGTGCCTGTAGTTCCAGCTACCTGGAAGGCTGAGGCGGAAGGATCGCCGGAGCCCAGCAGGTCGAGGCTGCGGTGGCCGGGAGCAGCCACTGCACTCCAGTCTGGGCGACAGAGTGAGACTCCAACTCCAATAAAAAAAAGAAAAGAAAGAAAGAAAGAAAGAAAGAAAACAGGTCAGACGATGTAATATGTCACAAACAAAATCACATGGCAACTGCCACTTGTTTTTTCTAATAACTTAGAAACAAGAACATGCCATATGATGTGGGGAATTCATTAAGTGAAGCTGTCATTCCCCAAGTCACTACTGTTTGGTTTTTGTCAGTACTAAAAGCAGGAAACTATTTGTCAGTACTAAACTATTTGTCAGTACTAAAAGCAGGAAACTACCGATATAAGTATACTAGATTTTAGATGTTTAATTTCAATTTTCTGGGTTTTTTTAAAAGTAAAACTTTAGTAACTAGGTAAGTATGACTAATATTTTCCAATGTAAACCTCAGACCACAAAGTGCCAGTGTTGGGAATAAGCCAGTTCTGGTAGGATGTGGGCATGCTTGTAGGAAGCCACACCCAGCAACCAGAAAGTTATTATGCCTCTGGTCAGCTTATTTTAAAAAGAACAGTCAATGTTGAAGGAAACAAAATAAACTTACAATAAAAATATATTTATGGAGCAGTTTTAAGCCCTTTAGCTAGATGAGCATTACTAGCTTATAAGCATTCTACTCTTACCCGTCATTTTTACTATGTGCATATGGGGTCAAAGACAGTAAACACAAAAAGTGGAGAGCCCTAGCCTTCTATGCAGTCCAGCATTTGAAAACTCTGTCTACATCTCTTAAATAATGGAAAATATGAATAATTCCTCTTTAATGATATAAACTCAAACTTATCTCTCCACAAATACATTATCTTCTCCCATACTCTCAATCATTCTTAAGCAGGGGGCAGTTTTGTTGCCCACAGCTTGTTTGCAATGTCTATAGACATTTTTGGTTGTTATAACTTCGTGAGGATGCTACTTGCATCTAGTAAGCTGAGGCCAGGGGATGCTGTTAAACACCCTACTGTGTACAGGACAGTCCCCAACAACAAAGAACCATCCATCCCCTATGCCCATAGTGGTGCAGTGGAGAATCCCTGCAACATCTGGACAAGGACAGCACCCTGTATTTCCAAGAGGGGACTGAGATGGGAAAGGTTTGAAGAAAACCATCTGCTGCCTCACTTGATTTCCTGTGTTTACAGCAGAACACACACTTACAAACTGATGAGCTAGAATTAACTGCAATCCCTAACTCTGGGCAGAATATTATGGGGCCTGAAGCTACTGAACTGCTTTCAAACATTCATATGCAACTTCCAGAAACTTAAGACTCACAGAAATAACTTGCAGTCTGTGGACCAACCTTAGTAAAAAGACAATTGTTAAGAAGAAACAATAGTGAACAGTTTCCAAAATATTTAAAACTGGACATTTCTCTTGTTCAGTTTTTGCATAATGTCATTTTAACATGTCAAAATTAGTCAAGAAAGAATGTTCCCAAAAAAGAGAAAGAATGTTTCACATTTATTTTAATGAATCAACAGAGAAACAGTTATTCTTACAGTTCATAAGGCATATAATCCCACACTGAATGCCAATGATAGCATAGCTACAAATGTTTAACACATGTGATGGTTATAAAACCAACAAGCCTTTTTGCTTGCTCTCTTTTCTTTTTTTTTTTTTAGAGACAGTACCACCCAAGCTAAAGCTGTTTTTGCTCTCTTTAAGGAAGTGGTGTACTCACAGGCTCGGTTCCGGGTTTTGTATGTGCAAGTATAGAGGCTGCAAGGCCTTGCTGGCATAGACCTCTGAATCTGGAACTTTCTCCACAGCAATTTGCATGGAGACACTTGAAGAATGCCCCTCAGGCTGTTCATCACCATCATCTTTAGCTTGAAATCTTGATCAATTCCCAAATAACTTGCAAGAACCTAATACTCTAGAGGGAAGAAGGAAGAAGAAGAAAAGCTATAAACAATGGAGACTTTAAGATCATGGTGAAACTTCTAAGTAGGACAACATTCAGACTCATAGTACACACCCTGAGATGGGGGGAAGGGCAAATGAGAGTCAACAGTTTATTCACTCTGGTGCCTTAAACTCATTGGTCCCCTCTATGGAGGGCAGGGAAGTCCTGAGGACTGACTCATGTGCTTTGCCTTTCCCTCTGGGTTAGCAAGTATTAGAGGTTGACAGAAAATATTCTCTTTACCCACAGGAATGAAAAAACAAACAAACTAACTAACTAACTAACTCACTAAAGTAGTTTCTTAAAATTAAAAAAATTTGCTCCCTGAAATCTCAATTAATTATTCAGCATGGTGTTTACATGTAGGAAGAGCCCCAAATTTAACGGTCCCTCCAGGCAGCCTGAATAAAAACAATCATCTGTATCTGGATTGCTTAAAAAAGAAAAAAAAAAAAAACCCAAGATACATCTTGCCAAAATAGTCATGGGCAGTTTTGAAATCTAAGCTTAAAAATAATCTGTGATTCTTTGCTAGTTTTGGGTGTAACACCATGGCCCTTGGGAAAAATGGACAAGGTTAACCCTAAACTCTCTACCTCTCACATGTTCACAGTGAAAGTCTCAGAAGATGATGCATTTCAAGGCATTCACTATGGAGTTCTGAAATTACGGTAAAATTAACTCTGAATACTCCTCCCTTCAACATTGCTTTATCCACTTTCCCTGATGACTCCTATCCATGAACCAAGTGAATAAACATGTTGTGAAATGACAAAACCATTTTTTTCTTGTTTACACATTCATTCCACTATAGATTTTCACTCACTAAAGTGTGACTGCTTGAGGTGCGTTCAGAGGACTGTTCCGACTGCCATTTGAGCAACCATGACATGTGGTTGTAAAGCCACATGCCCTGGCCCTGCAAAGCTCTTGGCCTCATGACCACTTGTGCTCCTGCCTGTGGGTTTTAGTTCTTCCACCTCCTGTGCAGATGCTTTTTCTTCCCTCGACTCTCCGTATGTCTGTCTGGTGAGTCCCTACCCCTCCTTCAGGTGACTGACATTGGCGTCTCTTCCTCAAAGCTCCCCCTCACCATGTGCTCTCGGCAGTATGTCATCCCAGCACCCTCTTCCTGGTCACAGCACTTACTGCAATGATTGAATTAATACCTGATCAGGAATGTACTTTATGAGGTCATCCTCCCCAGCATCTAAGCTTCATGGTCTTAGGAACCATGTCTGTTTCAGTCAGAGCTGCATCTCTTAGGGACACAGGGCCTAGCTTATGATGGGTGTTTGAGGAGTACTAGTTGAATGCCCTGAGTAGGCTTCCTTGGTGATAGAGATGTTGATCCCAATTTCAAGAAGCAAGAACTGTGCCATGACTGCCAGCATGTTCTGGGACAGTACTAGGGGTCTTTCCTTTTCTCAAACAGCACCATCACCTATTTGTAGGGTTATTTATTTTTGAAACACTTTCAAGTGCTTATCCTTTAAGAGGAGGGTCTCATATCCCTACCTGTAAGATCCCAAGGACCCCAAAAGTCCTTCCTGATTTAAAAGAGGAGCCTTCTGGAATATGAACCTCATCTAATCTCACAGGACTGGGATTCTGTCAAGAAGCATTTATTGTCATTCCCTTTGCTTCAGGCACTGTGTTGGGTGCTGTGATGCAAAGATGACCAAGGTCATACAAAGGAATGAAGTATTAGCATATGCCATAATGTGAACGAACCTTGAAAACATGGTGCTAAGTGAAAGAAGTCACATAAAAAGGTCACATATTGTAAGTTCCCATTCATGTGAAATACTCAGCACAGGGAAATCTACAGAGCCAGAAAACAGATTTGTGGTTGCTAGGGGTTGAGGAAGGGGGGAAATGGGGAATTTTCCTTAGTGGGCATGAGGTTTTGTTGGGGGGTGGTGATGTAAAAGTTTTGCAAATACATAGAGGTGGCAGTTGCACAACACTGGGAATGTTCTAAATGCCACTGAATTGTACACTTTAAAAAGGTTAATTTGCCGGGCTCAGTGGCTCAGCCTGTAATCCCGCGCCTTTGGGAGGCTGAGGTGAGTGGATTGCCTGAGCCCGCGGGTTCAAGACCCGCCTGGGCAACTTGGCGAGACCTCATCTCTACAATAAATCAAAAAATCAGCTGGGCGTGGTAGTGTGCGCCTGTAGTTCCAGCTACTTGGAAGGTTGAGGTGGAAGGATAGCCGGAGCTCAGCAGGTAGAGGCTGCGGTGGCCAGGAGCGGCCACTGCACTCCAGTCTGGGCGACAGAGTGAGACTCCAACTCAAAAAAATAAAAATAAAATAAAATAAAATTTAAAATAAAAAAAGGTTAATTTATGTTATGTGCATTTTACCTTAATAATGCTTATATTTTACAAAATATGAACAAGAGAAACATACAGCAAACCAGTTCACAGCAGGGCATTGGAGCTGCCTCAGATTTTGCCTTCTCCTGCCAAAAGGGTGACTCTCAGCAGTATGGTCATGCTGTGAGTAGCGGATGCCAAAAGGCACAAAAAGAGAAGTTGAGGGACCCTAAAGACATATTTGTGAAACAAATCGGGTCACTCTTGTCATACCCAAGTAAATCAGAGGCAAGGGCCCAGGGGAAAAAAGCACAGGGGGCACATAGCACCTGCTCCAAGAATTAAATGTGCCACAAGCTCAGCTGCTAAAACAACCTAGTTTTACTCACCACTGTCACTCACAATCAGAGCTTGCCAGCTTCCCAACACTAGTGCCAATGAACTTTCTTTCCAAACAATACATAATATTTCTCCTTTTTCTAAAACCTCCAACCTTCTCTTTGTTCTTCGGACATACCAAAGACCACCTGGTCTGTGTGTATGCCCCGAATTGTAATTCTTGCTTTGCAAATAAAATGTTAGAGGTTCATCTCTACATTTCTGTTTTGACTTTGACACATTTCACTTACAGACCTGAACTGTACTTCTTACCATCTTTCCAAGAAGAGTGTAAGATACAAAACCCACATCATGATCCCTAGTGATGCTAAGCAAGGAGGCAAACGTTGTGCCTCGCCTCTCTTCCTGCACATCCCTGCTGGTGATTGACTGTGAACTAGCTCTTCTCTGTACTACTGTCCTTGACCCACCTCTGTCTGAGCTAGAGGGGAGAGGACTACACCTAAGTGAAGAGAGAGAAAAATCACACTTGACAAGCCATGTCCAATGGAAGCAGGAAGCAGAGGTACTTTCTGTCACTACCTTTCAAGGAACAGTTGAGGATTCCAGGCAGAACTCTACCTGGCCCAGACAGGTAGTCTGTCAGTCTTTTGGCTCAGTGCCATGCTCGTTTGTCACATGCATCACTTTGTATATGTACACAATGAACTCAAATCACATAAAAGGGAATTTTCTGGTAGGAAGTTAGTGAATCCCATGGAGCCTCCTCACCTTCAGGTCTAACTTCCTACCTGGGGGTTTTTAGGCCAGTGACATCTGAAGTATGGCTGCATTGCACAAAGGTGTATGAAATTCTCAAATTAGCCAGGTATGGTGGCTCACACCTGTAATCCCAGCACTTTGGGAGGCGGGTGGACAGCTTGAGCCCAAGAATCTGAGAGAAGCCTGGGCAACACAGTGAGACCTCATGTTTATAAAAATAAAAATAAAAAACAATTAGCTGAACGCGGTGGTGCATGCCCATAGTCCCAGTTATTCAGGAGGTGGAGGCTGAGGTGGAAGAATCACCTGAGCCCAGGAGATAGGGGCTGCAGTGAGCCATGATTATGCCACTGCACTCCAGCCTTGGCGACAGAGTGAGACTCTGACTAAAAAAAAAAAAAAAGAAATCCTTTCAAATCAAAGTCAAAATAAGTTTTGCTCATAGTTTTATGTGTGTGCTTGTGAATGTGCATCTTTGAAGGGCACATGTATATCAAGATGTATCTCAAAAGTTTCCCTCAGGATTTCAAAGACAGACTGATAACAAACTTTCCTTTTTATTTTTTTTGAGTTGGAGTCTCACTCTGTCGCCCAGACTGGAGTGCAGTGGCTGCTCCCGACCACTGCATCCTCGACTTGCTGGGCGCCAGCGATCCTTCCGCCTCAGCCTTCCAAGTAGCTGGAACTACAGGCGCGTGCTACCACGCCCGGCTAAGTTTTGATTTATTGTAGAGATGAGGTCTTGCCAAGTTGCCCAAGCGGGTCTCGAACCCACGGGCTCAGGCAATCCACTCACCTCAGCCTCCCTAGGCGCGGGATTTCAGGCTGAGCCACCAAGCCCGGCCAATAACAAACTTTCAAAGGATTATCTTGATAGTGCCTTGACCCAAATAATAGCATCTAGTTTTCAAATACATTCCTTACCTGAACTAACTGACCAGGCCAGCAGAATAATAGACCACTGGCAACCTCAATTTAGAATCTGATTCTGCCATGTTTTTCTTCCCTTTTATTATGAGAAACTTCAAATTAATGCAAACATAGTGAGAATACTATAGTAAAACTACCTATGTACCCAATATTCCATTTCAACAATTTGTTTGTAGTCAATCATGTTTTATTTACATTTAACCCTCCCTTCCCCCACATCCTCTCCTGCCATTTGCTAACCCAGGGTTAGTTCCCCCCCACCCCAGGATTATTTTGAAGCAAATTCCCACACACATTCTAGCAACTTATTCATTTTTGTATTTTTTTTTTTTTTTTTGAGTTGGATTCTCACTCTGTCGCCCAGACTGGAGTGCAGTGGCCGCTCCCAGCCACTGCAGCCTCGACCTGCTGGGCTCCGGCGATCCTTCCACCTCAGTCTTCCAAGTAGCTGGAACTACAGGCATGCACTACCATGCTCAGCTGATTTTTTTTTTTTTTTTTTTTATTGTAGAGATGAGGTCTCGCTGCCCAGGCGGGTCTCGAACCCGCAGGCTCAGGCAATCCACTCATCTCAGCCTCACAAAGACGCGGGATTACAGGCTGAGCCACCGAGCCCGGCTTCATTTTTGTATTTTTATAGAAAATGGTCTCCTAATTCATAGTTTCTTCTTCATAAATATCTGTATGAAAAAGCCTCTGGTGATAGTTTATTACAGAATATGAAAATTATCAATTTTCAAAATTAAAAAAATAACAAAAAGCTGAATAACTCAATAAACTTTCTCAGTATCAATCTAACCCTTAATGTAAGCACTCTTGATATCACCACCCCCTCATCTTGAATGAGAGCTCAGATTAGGAACTTTATGATCATCCTAACTTAGAAGGCCATGAAACTGCATATTTGATAACCGCAGCTCAACAGAGTGAAAGGATTCCATGAACTGAAATGTTTAAGATTCAGGCCTAAGGTATACCTTGAAACTAATGTAAGAATCTAGAACCTGAGGAGCAGGAAAAATATTAGCTTAGTGACACTATACAAGAAGACTCTGTGACTTCAGATGGTACAAGCTATGAAAAAGCTCTCTGGTGACTGTTATATAAATACAAATTACTATTACTCATTGTAATTTGCATGACATAAATGCAAAAACTAAGAAGATAGAAAGCCATGTTGGATTACTTTTTATTTATTTATAAAATTAAAAAAACTGTAAATACAAAGAGACAAGGTCTCACTATGTTGCCCAGGATGGCCTCAAACTCCTGGGCTCAAGCAATCCTCCTGCTTCAGCCTCTCAGAGTGCTGGGATTACAGGTGTGAGCCACCATTCCTGACCTGAATGACTTTTAATGCCATTTTTTTCTTTAAAAGCAATACCACCAAACAATTGTGATCAATCAGGATTCTCTCTGATAAAATTGATTTAACATTAACATGAAATTTCAAAAACTGCTAAGTGGTATGGGGAAAACTTTTTTTTTTTTTTGAGTTGGAGTCTCACTCTGTCACCCAGACTAGAGTGCAGTGGCCGCTCCCGGGCACCGCAGCCTCGACCTGCTGGGCTCCGGCGATCCTTCTGCCTCAGCCTTCCAAGTAGCTGGAATTACAGGTGTGTGCTACCACACCCGGCTAATATTTTGATTTGTTGTAGAGATGAGGTCTCGCCAAGTTGCCCGGGCGGGTCTCTAACCCGTGGGCTCAGGCAATCCACTCACCTCAGCCTCCCAAGGCGCGGGATTACAGGCTGAGCCACCGAGCCCGGCTGGGAAAACTTCTTAACTATGCCTTCTCTCCACTGATTTCCATTCCAGAATTGAAGAAATAGTAAGCAATTATCTCGTGTCAAGTCCTGTGCTGTGTAAAGATGAAAAAGTCATGCTCTTTCCTTACTCCCACAAGTTTGCTATCTATAGAAAGACCACTCAAATAAATGTTTCTCTTTTTTGTTACCTTTTTAAAAATTGTGGTAAAATATACATAATAGTTAGCATTTTAACCAATTGTAAGTGGCATTAAATACATTCACAATGCTGTGTAACCATCACCACCATCTGTACCCAAAACTTTTTCATCATCCCCAACATGAACTCTGTACTCACTATATAATAATTCCTCCTCCATCTCCCAGCCCCTGGTAACTTCTCTCCTACTGCATGTCTCTGGGTATTTGCCTATTCTAAGTACCTCATATAAGTGGCATCACACAATTTTTGTCCTTCTGTGACTGGCTTATTTTACTTAGCATAATTAAACAGATATTTCTTTTTTTGTGAGTTGGAGTCTCACTCTGTCACCCAGACTGGAGTGCAGTGGCCACTCCCGGCCACCGTGGCCTCGACCTACTGGGCTCCGGCGATCCTTCCGCCTCAGCCTTCCGAGTAGCTGGAACTACAGGCGTGCGCTACTATGCCCGGCTGATTTTTTGATTTATTGTAGAGATGAGGTCTCGCCAAGTTGCCCAGGCAATCCACTCACCTCAGCCTCCCAAGGCGCGGGATTACAGGCTGAGCCACCGAGCCCAGCTTAAACAGATATTTCTTAATCAAAGCCAGATGTGATGACAGCCTTGATTTAGTATGATGACACTATATGAAGCAAAGACTCTTAAGTTTCAGGAAGAAGAGGCATCTGAACCATGTGTCATAGGAGTGAGACAATTTCAACAAGTAGGTCAAAGGCAGAGGGATGGACAGGGGAAACTTCAGGGATGATGAGACTGTGGCTGGGTGGGGAAATCATTAGGTCCCATGGCCAGAGAGGCCAATTGGGGTTGAAACGGGAAGAACTTTAGGATTAGTCAATAAACAATTCAAGTGTTGGGGAATGTGGGAAAGCAATCCAAAAGAACTCCCTTTCTTGCTTACAATCTAGTTTGAAAGAGACTTAGTAATTTTCAGGAAGATGATGCCAAGTACAATGAATGTATACTCCACAGAAATGACGTGCCAGCTTGACCTTGAAGGGGAAGGCTGTGATAAGACAAGGCCAAGGGCATGCCCGCCACCCAGGAGAGCCGTACAAACAGATGAGTGGACACACACGCGGACAGGGCACAGGGCCCTGCACAAGAGGATGTGTGGGGGAACTGAGACTTATTAGCATGGCACCCAGAGAAGACTGAGAAATGACCCTCTGCTTTGCTCCACAGAGAGCCGTCAGGAAAGCGCTGAGGCATGGTAGGCTGGGGCTGACAGCCATGCCTCGGGGATTGCCCTACGCTCTGCAGTCACGTCGTCTCTACACAACACGAAGGCAGGAGGCCAATGACAGTTGGCCCAAAGGAAGTTTCTCCTGGACACCTCCATACTGGCTCTCTAGGGCTAAGGGGCAGGAGGGCTCCAGAGGGCCTGACTTCACCCTCACCCTCTTGGTCATTCTCCTCCACAAGACTCCCCCACTTAGTGGTGGACTGCCTATAGTGGTCCAGAAGTCTGAACCTCTGTCTGTCCTCCAGGATGTTCCTGATCACACTGTGACTCTGAAGACTTCCTTTTGTGTCCTTTAGACATAAAGACAGAAATACCACGCCCCCAAAACAAACAAACAAAATCTCCAAACCTGTTTTTGAAACAAAGCTGAGAGTATGTCTGAACTCCCCAGCATTCTCAGCCTGCTATTAATATTGGTCAACACAGTGGCCAAGCAGATGCCCAGGGATGTGGTGGGGCTGGATGAGGATGTGAGATTAATTTGGGGAATATGAACTTCCAAGACACTAGAAGGCTTCATATATTCTGTGTGTATAGGAGGAAACACTGATGGTTTCTGATGACTCTGACAGCAGAGCACAGGAGGGATGGCAGTGGGCAAAGAGTGGAGCTGGGAAAGTCAGGGAGGAGGTGATTCCTTCAACAATCCTTCATTCCGTTAATCACTCTTTCATTCTTTCTTGTATCAATTGAACACCTATTAAGTGCCAGACACTGTTCTAGGCTCACTGGGGAACAGAACAAAGTCCCTACCCTTGAGTAACTCACATTCTAGGACAGAGACACAGACAATACGGGGGGGGGGGAACCCAAAGGAACATAATTTATTTATAAAAAATTGTGTATTTATTCTTACACATTTAAACTTCAGTCACCTTCAAAGTACTCTCTGCTTGATGCAATATACCTATCAAAACACTTTTTCCACGACTCAAAACAGTTTTTGGACCTGTCAGTTTTGATGCTTTTTAGCGTTTCTGCTGTTTATTGTTTCACCTCATTGGCAAAATGTTTCCCTTTGAGGACTTTTTTCATCCAGGAAACAAAAAGAAGTTGCTAGGGGGTGAGATCAGGTGAATAGGGAGGGTGGGGCATGGGGGTCGTGCGTTTTTGGGTTACAAACTGCTGAACACTCAGCTTGGTGTGAACAGGTATGCTAATGAATCACCCATCATGAAATGGGCAAAAGTGTTGAAAAAAATCTAAAAAAAAAAAAAATTTCACTGAAGCTGAACGCAGCCTCTCACAACGTTAGCTGGCACATTGATGTCGATGGGTTCCTAGATCCTACAACACTTACCTAGTGGGGGAAGCCTGTACTACAAAGGACCCGCCTTTCAAAAGATAATTGTTTTTTGAGGGAGTATCCCCTTGTAAACAACAAGTATAATAAATAAATCATTTGTAGAGGCAATTAGAATATGTCCATCAGTGGAAAGTAGAGCAGGGTAAGGCGAATTTGGAGTATCACTGGGAGACAGTGCTGTATTTTTAAACACATTGCTCAGGGGATGCCTCATTGAGAAGGTGAAATGTGAGCAAAGCATTGAAGGAGGTTGAGAATTCATTGCATGGCCACCTAGAAGAAGGGCATTCCAGGCTGTGCAAAGACTCTGAAGTGGGAGCATGTCTGGCACACTGAAGGGATACTAAGGAGGCCAACATGGAAGGAGTGAAGTAAACTAGGAGGAAGGTAGTAGGAAATGAAGCCCAGAGGCAGTGGATGCCAGATCAAGTAGACTTCTAGGCTATTGTTGGAGTTGTTACTCTAAGTCAGGGTTTCTCAACCTTGGCACTGCTGACATTTTTGACCAAATGATTCTTGGTCGTTGGAGACTGTCCTGTGCACTATAGGTTGTTCAGCAGCATCTCTACTGGCAGTAGCACCCTAAATCAGAGTTGTGACAACAAAAAATGTCTCCAGACATTGCCACATGTCTTCCAGGGTAGGGGGATTGCCCCAGCTTGAGAACCACTACTCTAAATGAAACTGGGAGATAATGGAGATTTTTGAGCAGAGAGGTAACATAATCTGATTTACATTTTTAAAAGACCACTCAGCATATCCTATTGAATATTGCTTTGGAGAGTAGAGAAAGGGAAAGACAGGAAAGAAGCAGGAAGACCAATTAGGATGATCGATGGACTTGAACTAAGGGTGTTACAGTGGAGGTGGTAAGAAGTGGTTGGATTTTGTTTATATCTTGGACATGCAGCCCGTAATATGTGAAAGAAAGGAGTTAAGGATTACTGAAAGATTCTTGGCCTAAGCAACTGGAAATATAAAGTTGGCATCAACTGAGATAGAAAAGACAATGGAGGAGACAGGTTTTGGGTGGGAAATAAGTAGCTCAGGTTTAGACATGTGAAGTGTGAAATGAAATTTCAATAATCCAAGTGAGAGAATATGATGCACTGAACTGGGCAGTGACCGTAGGGATGGACTGAATACTTTGTATTCAAGAGATAGCCATTTTGATTTTTTTTTTTTTTTTGAGTTGGAGTCTCACTCTGTCGCCCAGACTGGAGTGCAGTGGCCGCTCCCGGCCACCACAGCCTCGACCTGCTGGGCTCCGGCGATCCTTCCGCTGAGCTTCCAAGCAGCCGGAATTACAGGCATGCGCTACCACGCCCAGCCGATTTTTTGATTTATTGTAGAGATGAGGTCTCGCCTGCCCAGGCGGGTCTCGAACCCACGGGCTCAGGCAATCCACTCACCTCAGCCTCCCAAAGGCGCGGGATTACAGGCTGAGCCACCGAGCCTGGCTGCCATTTTGATTTTTAAAAAGTAACGTTGGCACACAACTAAATGAGGAAAAAACACAAGAAATGTTAGAAGGCCTCGTGATTTAATGGCTGGAATGATGCTGATGGTAGAATGAGGATAGATCCCTAAACGGAGAAACAAAATCTAGCATGAGAAACAGGGAAGGGAAAGATGGCAGGTTTTACTCCTAATCATATTGGATTTGAGGTACCAATGGGATAGCTGAGAGGAAAGGTCTGGGAGAGGGTTGGCAAGGCAGCTCTGGTGCTCAGGAGCAGTCATGAAGCTAGAAACAGAAGGAAAATCCCTTCCCCACAGCAGTTACAGGTAGATCAAGGGAGACTGACAAAAAAGAGTGTTTAAGGATGCCAAAGACTGAGAGGGAATAGTCAAAGGCAATCACAAAGGCAATCACGGAAGGAACAGAGTATGCAAGGTCGGGGTAAGGAAAGTTCCAGGAAAATCCAAATAAACAGAAACTCAATGTAGCAAATGCTAGGCTATAGTACCTGCAACAATACATGAGATTATTTCGGCTCAGGCCTAAGGCCTATCCTCTCTGTTAAATTAAAAGCAATAACTTAGTAAGAGTTGATTATTTAAACTTACTAAACTCATGAAATCCAAGCTTTTGAAACCAAAAATGTTTGACCATCAAATGTAGCACCTAGCAACGAACTACCATTATACAGTACTATATTTCATGGAGAATCTGTCCATACTTAAGGTTGTCTATAAAGATGGGTTCCTGGGTTTGATGGACCACAGGGGAGCTTTCTGTGCTATAATGCCCTTTGCTATCACTGATTATTTATGTATATCCTTGGATTTTACTAACATGCTCCTTATGTGCTGCTTTGCAGACTGAGAAATGTGGG